AAAAAAAAAAAAAAAAAACACTCCTCTGTTTCCTGAAAATATGTTGCTTTCAAGTCCTCAAAGGAAATTTTTTGGGGATTGATCTGCAATATTTCTGTTATTTCATTTTCACCAAATCAATTTGGCTATGGGTGATGCTACATAACCACCCTCCATTACAACATGGTTTACAACTATGTGTAATGGAGACATTGAAAAATGTGCATTATTCCATTTTTTAATGACTCCATTACGATTGTAAACCATGTTGTAATGGAGGGTGGCAAAGTAGCAAAATCCTTCGGCCATACCCGCTGACACCCACAACTGTGTGTGAGAGAGAGGGAGCAAAACAAAGAAAATTAAAAATTAGTAGCAATATCATACCTTGCTCTGATCCCACCAAAACAATATCAAGTACAGAACATAACATAAACAGATCATACCAAAAGAAAAAATCCACAAAAACACACAAACATTTCAATCACTCCAACATCACCCGACAAACTCATCCTTAAACTTCTCCAGATCAGCCAAGTTCATCTTCAGCAAGTTGGTCAAGTCCTCCGCTATCGGCACCATACTCCCGAACCTCTTCAGGTGCACCTCCGCCGCCTCCCGAGCCGCCGCCGACATTTTTCCCGCCATCTCACGCTGTGCCTCCTCCTTTTCCCGCCTCATTTCCTCCAGAGTCCTGTCGGACGCCCGTTTTTCCTCCTCCAGGCCCGAAATTCGGCATCTCAACCATTCCATGATCTGATCGTCCATCTTCTTCTGCTTCTTGAACTCCTCGATCTCTTGCCTCATGTTCGAGACGCTCGACTCGAGGCCCCGCTGCCTTTCCCGATACTCCTCGATCGCACGATCCTTTTCCGAGGCTTCAGTCTGGAGCTCCTTCAGTTTCTTGTCTTGTTCTAGCAGTTGGGCTTTGTAATTTTCCTTCTGGAGCTTGTGCGAGATCAGTTCTTGAATTATCTCCATGGCCCGGGTGCGCCTTTCCAGCTCGTATTCCGGCTCCTTCTTGATCTTCCCTTTGTCGCTGTTCATTCTTGTATTATGTAACACAAACAATAAAAACTATATTAATTCTTGGGAAAAAAAAAAAAAAAAAACACAACAATGCAAATTTTAAGCAAGAAAATCAAGGTCTGGAAATGGGGGTTGTGTTTATGGCTGTTTATGTGGAAGAGGAGAAGTAAACAGAAGGTTTTGGGAGTGTTGTTGAAGAGGTGTGTGAAAGTGACTTTTCAGTAAATGGGGTAACAGTAAACGACAATTAAATTAATGGGTTTGGGGAAGCTTTTTCAGTACATTTTATACCTCTGTGTGTACTGTACACTGTGAAGGAGTTTTTCTTGCAATGGTGAAAATTATAAAAGTATAAAAAAACAGTGATTAGAGAATATCCTTCCTTATATATTAATTCAAGATCGGTTGAGTCTAGGTGGCAGATTCTCACGTTTCGGATGTTGACATGGCGAAAATCTATTCTTCGTGGTGTTATTTTTATATTATTTTTGTTCTGGAGTTATGTTTGACATTAGACATAAATAACTTTATACATATATTCATTAACTCAACACTCATGTTGTACATGGACATTAATACTAGTATACACTGAAATGTGAATGCTAATAATGGCATGGAGTCTATATTTGGGTGGTGGTTGAGGGGTTCAAACCAGCTGAGAATGAGACAAAACTGGAAAAAAGAAGGAAAAAAAAACTTTGTTTTAACTTTTAAGGATGTTTGGAACTAAATTAATTAATGGCATTCATAAATAATAATAATGCATGTAGGTAAGTTCCTCCGTAGTTGACAACTAAAGGAAGAGAATATTTGTACAATATTATTGTACTAGTATAATACCGGTGTACTGCACGAATATTTGGTAAGAAGATTATATAAAATTAATAATAATAACACCAAAATTTATTTTAGTTTTTTTTAAATACTTTTTTTGAAAAAAAAATATTATCTGTATTTAAAATGACATCCTCAGTTACACGACTTACCATCTTATATTATAATTTTGTTTGAATTTATATAAGATAATTGCTTTGTTGTTAAAGTTAGTTTAAATAATTTTTTTAATTAATATTAATACGTAATTTAATTTTCATTACGAAGATAAATGAAATTATATATTTATATTGCATATAAAATATTGATTTCAAATCGAAGCCCATAAAGACACGATTAATTTGATATATTATACATAGAAAATATTAAATAAATAAAAAAATTACTAACTTTTTAAATATATTTAAGTTGGTAAATTTGTTATAACTTTTAAAAGAAGTATGAGGAAAAAAGAAAGATTAAGAAAAAAATTATATCATATAAACCACGTATACAAAAGGAAATGATATTTAAACATAATTAATGCTCATAAAAATGACCATAAATATTCAGTATTTTTACGGATATACGAATATTAGTTACTTTTGGATTGAAAGTAAATTAAAATCCATCTAATTCAAACAACAAAGCTTAACAATTTGCCACATAGCACATTCGAGAATTTATACTTATATAAAAAGTCATCTCATTTACTAGAATTAGTAGGCAGAAAAGTCAAAGGCAATTAATTACACACCATATTTTGAAAGTTTTATAATTTTTTAAATCATAAAATATGATAGCACTAAATGTCCATAAAATTATGAGTTTTGTTGAATTCATTTTTGCAAATTTCGACAGATATTAAAGTGAATATGAAATTCAAAATCTCTGCTCATTTTATTTTTAATAAAATCTGCATCAAAATTTAAGTGTGGTTTTGAAGTGAAATTTTGAAATTCAAAATATCTTCTCATTTTAGTTACAAGAAAATCGAGCTGCATTCAAAACTTGGACCAATTTAAAAATTATTTCTTAAATGAAGGGATTTATAGATAATTGTTATTTATACTCAATCACATGATTATTTTCAATATAAAAGAGACAGATTACATATTAGTGAATCACGTATTACCTAATTCAATATCTTAACATTAAGGAATAAATCCATTGTATTATGTAATCTGTATCTCATATTATTATATGATTAAGAATATATATTAGCTATATTATCAAATCATAAAAGATATTAAATTCATATTGTAAAAAAATAATTCATACAATTTTATAACAATTCTACTACACTATTTAACAATATTCCTTTTTATTATATAAAAAATATAATCGATTTATAATTAAGTAATATGTAGACAAACATTTAGTATATAAGCAACAAAAAGTGTGGTTTACTATTTAATGTGTATATGAATAATTAATTATTATCCAACAACCAATATTACTTAATCTAATAAAAACAAACTATTACTTAATACATATCAACAAACATTCAAATTTCACTATAATTATATTATTTATGTTTTAATTTCCTTCTAATAAAATAATATATTTATTGCATTTTAGTTACATAGAGTTGTTTTTTTTTAATTTGCACAAAGAGCTTTTTAGTAGATACAAATATAATTGACAAAACAATATTTTGTAGGTACTCTGGCATTATCTTCCTACAATGGATGAGATCATGATGGTGATTGGTTCTTCGAATAATGCTTACCTCTTCCGATGTGAGGATACCTTTTAAGTTCTAGAGAAAACAATTCTCGGTTGTAGTATCTTATGTCATGACGATAAATAAGAGTCAATTAATCTTTATTGCACGTTGGTCTTATGTGTCTGTTTTCCGCGTTATGAATCGTCAAGATTCGAAAATATTACTATTGTGTAAATAAGGTGTTTAATAATATATAATTTGTTTTGTTTTCAGTTTTATTTCCAAATATGTAAACAACCATATGGATGTGTATTATTATAATTATAAATGTGTTATGTTGTTAACTTATATATCATCTCATTATCTAACATAACAATAACAATGAACATTGTTTCTCATGCGATGCACGGGCTATGCATAAGGGGATTACATATAATTTCCATATGTAATAAGATTAATTGTAAACACATCCATTTTTTTTAATATACATTGTGAGGCTATTATGTATGTGTCATTTTTTTGTAATGTGATAGTCCTCTATGTAGTATAAGTAGAAATTAATCAATTTATTACTCTCTAGAGAGATCTCTCTCAATCTCTCACTCCTCTTCTCCTAATTATCCCTTTTGGGATTTGTCTTTCACATATAGATCAGCAATCTCTCTCTCTCTCTCTCTCTCTCCCTCTCTCTCTCTCTCTCTCATTATTCAATCAAATTCTTCAGGTAATATTTCTACACGGCCCTGTCTCTTATGTGCCATAACTATTGTGCAGATTTAGTATTTTTATAACTTTAAAAGATCAAACAAATGCATGGCCAGCCCATGCATGATTGTTCCATTGATTCATTGATATCCTTGCACATTTTATTTTTTATTTTTTTCAGATCCAGATTTCACGTTGTTATGGTATTTTATCTGCTGAATTACATGTAATATTTATTAATATATGGAAGCGTGTAAATGTACATTTGTTCATGAAATCGAAAGATTAACATGGTGCTAAATTAATCACAAGTAATTACGACATGCAATCAATTCCTCTGTTTCTTTTTTTCAGGGGATCCTAACTACAATCTCTTTAGCTTGAGAAGGGAATTGATCAACCGAAAGCGAGATGACAAAGCATGCGTGGCGATCGATCAGCACCGTCCATTTCGACCCGGAAAAGGAAGAACAGATAAAATGGATGAAAATAGGTAAAAAATTGCCCCTTGAATCCTTACCTTATCAATGGAGGATATGGGATACCGCCCTAAGGCCCAAAAAGATGGCATTTAAGGCTTATTTACCTTATAACCACCAACGTGGTTATTTGTGGTATACAGAATGGCAACTTATACACAGTAAGTTGTTCATCCTGTATAGCCTCATTCTCCCCTTTTTAAAATCCTTCTTCACATAAGAACCTTGTGCATGATAAAGTCTAATAATACTGCCTTGCATTTGGTTTTCGGGTTCATGCAGAAATCGAGAACCAATTGAAAAGGACCGTAAAGCTCGTGAAAAACTTAAACCACGGCAACAAGGAACGAAACTTGAGGAACAAGTCAGAAGCCATTAACCTAGTCGAGGACTTCCAAAAGCAGTACGAGTCGCTGTATGCATTGTACGAAGACTTAAGGGAACAAGTGAAGAAGAATATCGGATTTGGAGATGGGGAAAGTGGTTCTTCTTCGACTTCTAGTTCGGATTCCGAGTCCTACTACTCGCCGGGCGGGTCGAGTCAAACCCCACACAGAAGGAGCAGCTCAAAGGACTCTAGCTTCAGCAGTGACGTTAACCAAGAATCTGACCCGACTTGGGATTTAGAGGACACCATTTTGAAAGATAAGTTGACTTCTTCGAGTGAGGTGAAAACCATCACGAATCAATATTCCCATTCGGAAGTTCTCAAGGATTTGAGTGTTCAAGGTGATGGGCAGGAGAATGTTGGTAGTGAGAAAATGGGTCGGATAAGAGATTTGGAGGGACAGGTCGAGAGCTTGAAGCTCGAGATTTCAGGACTCTGTATGGAAAAAGAAGAGTTGAAAGAGGTAGTCGCGTGTAAATCAGATGAAGCCATGCAGATGAAAGAGGAGGTTGAACGCTTGAAGCTCGAGATTTCGGGAGTTCTCATGGAGAAAGAATGCTTGAGAAAACAATCAGATGATGCCATACAGATGAAAGTCGAAAGCTTGAAGCTTGAGATCTCGGGACTCTGTATGGAAAAAGAACGGTTGAAGGAGCAAGTGGAGTGTAAATCAGATGAGGCCATGCAGATGAAAGAAAAACTTTCAAGTCTTAAAGCCCAGGTTTTGGAAGCTGATGCCAAATTGAAAGAAAACGAAAGCCGGTTTTGTTCTGTTAAACAATCTGTGGATAGTGAGCAGAAGTACTTATTGCGAATTTCGGACCTTGAGGCTCAGGCGAAGAATGTGCAGCTCGAATTGGATTCTTTGAAAGATCGGAAAGCCGA